AAAATGTCATGCTGCACAAAGATCCAATCAAAAAAGTGCAAACTTCTCGCTTGAAAATAAAAATAAAATGTGCATTCTTTTCCATGAGACGATATGGTCAGTGCAGCCTCTGGCCCATTTAAACCCCAGGGGCCCCACTGGGGCCAGCTGTTACTGTAGAGGGGACGGTGTAATTGACCCTGAAGTTATTTAAGCGGCAGCATAGTGCCGGAAACAAATTGTGGGAAAGCAAAGTCACACAGGTCATCCGAACAAATCTAAGATATTCTGTCCAACCAACAAAGCTAAAAAAGAAAGAAAAAGAAAAGTCTGATTTATGCTACTATTGTATTGTGTTATAAAACAGCAAACCACAAAGCAACAACAGGCTGACATTCAGACAACATCTGAAAGCAGCGATGCAGGAAAGCGTTTACTCTCACACAGGGCCGAGAGATCACATCAACAACTACACATCAATGCATGTTTCAAATACTATCTATCTGCTGTACTTACATACAGGGTATTTAAGTTAGTCACCAAAGCTAAGACAGACTCCTGTACTAGACCTTCCACAATGAACAGGTGGTTTAGCAACCACTACATTTAAAAATGGAGGTTATTCTAAAGTCATTGTGTGGCTATATGTACACAGCAGTAATAACAGAATACTTTGACTGTACACGCAGACGAGGAACAGTATCCTCCGTAACAATATTACCACTAACAACATTAACTTTGCTGGGAGGAGTACACACATTCATGGCCGGACATAAGAAAGAAAAGAAAAAAACACACACACCAGCAAGCAAGCAAACAGACAGAAAAACTATTCTGACTCACGTTACTCGATGCCGAGGCCTCTTTCCATCAAGAAGGCGAAGTGAAGTGGTCGATATTCATGTCCATGTCTTATACTGTAGTTACTTCTGTGCTTGTTGTTCGTTGCAGTCGTTTAGCAATTAGCAACACTGGAAAACAAGTAGCTAGCATTAATTCTCTCCGTTGTTTAAGTACATTTTTATAAGCTGACTTCCGGCTAGTCTGGTTGGTTTCACGTTTATTTAGCTGACAGTATTATCCATTCAATAACCACATTCAACACTGTAGTACACTGTAGTAATTTAGCGCTAGTGTCCCTTTTCTGAACTTAATTAACCTCACCTGGTGTCATGTTTCTTTCAACCACACCGACTAGTTTGGGGGGCACTGTTTGTCTAATATTAAGAAACACAATCAAATGTAAGATTTCATTTATTAAAAGGCAAAGAAAATGACTCAGTGAATATGTTCTCAACGTACTACATTTTTTGTTAATGTGGGTGACACATTAATAGGGTGTGTTTGCTTTAAATCACAGTTCATGGTAGTTGGTCTGATGTGTCCTTGAGTAAATGCCAGCATCAGTGCTCCTCTGGTTGACCTCTGACCCCCCTCTGTGGGCTGATAAAAAGATACTGCATATATATCTAGATAGAAAACCGATGTTCTTCTACAGTGGACCAGATGTGTCATTACGTATGCTGCGGTGAAAAAAACATTATTTTTTTTAAATTTGGAGCTGCACCTCTTTTTTATATTACTGTCAGGGATCATTGGAATCTTACAAACCTTCAGAAACAATATTATGAAATATCTTTGATGTAGCTGAAGAGAACATTTGCATAGCAGTGTCTCCATCCATCCCTCTTCCTGCAGCTAAATAAAGGATGAAAACTCAAATTCAAAAAAACTTAAAAGGAGTACACATCAGTATCCCACATACTTACAGTAGTGAAGTGGTGGACAGGATGGCTGAAGGGCCGGTTTCCTGCGCAGCTGATGTGTGGACTCACTTCCTGCTGCAGCTGGAGTGTCTTTACAGCTCAATCCTCATCTCATCTCTGCCGGTTTTTGTTTTTTTCACATCATAATTTTTTTCGTTTTGTCTCCCACAGCTGACACTGATATTTACGGCCCTTGTGTATCCCGGCACTTACCGCCCCGTGACACTACACGCTGCCCCTGTGGTTGTCAATAAGTGGCTCCACCAACGTGAGAGTAATTGGAAGCGTTTTGGAGTACGTATCGAGAACAAAGCCTGGAAAAGGAGCCCCCACTCTACCGCCTGATACACTCTGCCCTCGTCAACCACGCGGTGTCATTACGTGGCCCTAATCAGGATTTAAATGCCACAACGCAGTATGACAGCCTCACAGCCCAGCATCTTGCTTACATTTACACAGTGTGTGTATATATACAGAGGCCCATCATCATCAGCTTTTATCCAAATATCTTGACGGGGCATCGCTGTGTAAGGATACTTTTGAATCATAAGTGTCTCCAATCACAAATGGACCTCTAACTCTGTCAGTTTCATATTAATGATCTCTGTATTTTCTGTCATGTCATGCCAAGTTGTTTTTGTGACTTTATTTTGGGGGTTTTGGGTACTACTGTGAGGCTATTTCTTAAAGGTTCTCTATACGATATTCAGAGCATTTTTATAGCAGCAAAAATACATATAGCACCTATACCCTCTGGTTCCTCATCAGGTAAAAAGCGCTGTTGCCGTTAGCACCTGACGTTAGAGGGGTTCGTGGAGCCTCGTAGTTTGGGCCACTGACAAAGCTGCTGTATTTGACGGGTTGGGAGTGAGTGGACATGTTACTTCCTGTGGATATTCATGGCCAGTAGTGAGTGAATCTTACACCGTGTCCCAATTTCATACCAAATAATTATTGTATGCACTATATACTGTACAGTATACGGTTTTTGAAGTACGTATAGAAGAAACCATTTTATACTCACTGTATGCATTGATTACAATGCTATGAGACAGCAAAATGTCTTTCTCAAGATGAAATATACTTTTTTTGAGATCTTTCCAGAGGCGTGTCACCCACCATTCGGCTCTGAGTAACCCCGTCATTTTCATTGTGCACTGCATTGGATTGTGGGGCCACAGTGTATAGTGTACGCAAACATCGGGCGCTTTTTTAGTATGCATACTGACTTTTTATATCATATTAGTTTTGTCCCTTTATGAGTGCGAACACACAAACAGTTGTTGATGACCTCCTGACCTTTCCATCAGCACCACCATCGGGCCAAATACAGCAATGAGCCTACAGAAGGTCCGAGATGTCTTGTCTGCCTTGAGGACTAACGGCAACAATAAACAAATGATAAATGACAGAAATATATATGAACTACTGTGAGGTTGTCTTGTGTTTCACTGAGGGAGAACCAAGATGTTTAAAAACAGCCTCTGATGCAATATTCATGTCACGAATTTGGTATTTGGTATTTTGGGCAGCTGGTACATGCCACCAAGTGGAGGGTGGAGGGGAAGGGAGAAGAAGAGGGAGACAGGGGGTGGAGGGGGGGACCTGTTCTGAAAATCACACTCCCAGGTCTGGCTGTTTACATCCCTTCGGCACGTCTGTGGCTGTTTCCATGGCGACGGGAGTAAAGATAGACGGGGGATGTGTCAGAGATACAGTGCGCCAAGTGGTGCCGATTGCCGGACGTGAGTTGAAGAATGAGCAGGGCACACGGAGAAGTGCACATTATCTCAGCCGGCCGCCAGACCAATGCAGCTCGTTGTGACACTTTGTTTTTTTTCCTTTCACTCTCACATGACATCGACAGCTGCACCAGGCGTGATGCTGGGGTTTGAAACACACCTGAATAATCTGTCAGTATGGTCATCGCGTATAGTTGTGTACTCATACATACATTTAGTACCATCAACTCTGTCGCTTTGAAGCCTGATGTACCAGCATCTCGTTTGTATCTGGGGGAAAGTCCTGTGTTTGTTTAACTTATGCTACGTTCACACCAAACGCGGCGCGAATTATTCGCGCGAGTAGATTACATACAAAGTCTATGCACAGACGCGATGAGACTGGAGCGGCGCAAATTTGCTATGGCGCGGCGCGTTTGACGCGTCAATCGCGAAATCGCCCCAAACGCGCGAGTTGAAATTTTTCAACTTCGGTGAAATATTCGCGCTACGCCCCGGCACGATAGCCTATCAGCGTTGAGATGCTTCCCCTGTCATCACTGACTTCCTGCCGTTGTTGAATCAGGAAATAAATACTGTAGCCGTCTGTGTTCACCCAGAGCTCTATGATACCTCATATCAATAGAGACCGGACCAAACTATGTGTATAAATATGTGTGTGTAAACCATATGGTACAAACAATGAATAGACGCTGCCGTATTTATGTCTACATGACGTTATTCTGAGTGTTGATGGAGCTGCTACAATGTTAGCATACCCTAGCATATCCGAGCTCCATTGAGAAGACAAGTACAAATCGGCATCATTACGTAGTTATTTCAGAGTCCCTTTTTGTCGGTTATTGCCGTTAAATCACAGCCAAATCAGTTTATTTTGTGTTCATACAGCTGTAGCAAACAGCGACGTGTGGCTTGCTAGACACAGTGAATATAGCTCGATAACATCCATGGAGCTCCTCTGGACAATGTTATGAACCCAGACATGACGGCGTTTAGTTTCCCGTGATATCTGGGACTTCCACAACAGGTACTAAGCAGAACTAGAGGTTATTTTTTCCATGGTTAATGGCGAACAGTTGAACGGCTTTCAGGGCGAGAAGCCCCGCCCCCTCTCCGGCACGTCCAGCGCGATTCATGCGAATGAACACAAATAGTCCCCAGCGAGACTGGCGGGAATGCGCCGGAATGCGGGAATACGCGGCGCGAATCATTCGCGCCGCGTATTCGCGTGTGAACACGGCATTAGGAGACAACTTCCAGTTCTGAAAAGTGAAGCCAATGCTGAAGTGTGTTAAAGCTGCATTCTCTCTAGTGTCCACCAGGGGGCGACTCCTCTGGTTGTATAGAAGTCTATGAGAAAATGACTCTACTTCTCTCTTGATTTATTACCTCAGTAAACATTGTAAACATGAGTATATGGTCTCAATCTCTAGTTTCAAGTCTTCTTCAATACAGCATGATGTTCATTTAGTACATTATGGTCCATTTAGAGTCAAACAGACCATAAAGCAGGGGATGCTTTAGGGCGGGGCTACATGGTGATTGACAGGATGCTAACATGGTGTTGTCCGGTCTGAGAGTTGTCTGTGTATTCTTCTTACAGCTTCAACCCTTTCACAGTGTCTTTCCCCTTCAGGAAAGTTAATTGTAACATTTTGGTCGGCTAACAATGTCTTATTCAGCGTTTGGTTGGACTTAGCTCCGCCCTCTCGTGTCACTACTGGCTGCAAAAAAATGGCGACTGCCAAAATAGTAATAATGAAGGCTTTAACGTGGTGCACAAACCAATGGATGACGTCACGGTGAGTCCGTCTGTTATGAGGCGGGTAACAATTCAACATATGGAATGAATAAAGTTTCCAAGAATATGTGCGATTTGAAATAGGTCTGCAAATAAGTCGGTATACTAGGGGCAAAGTTCTAAGTTGCATATTAAAACACCCAACAGGTGGTTTGATATGCAACTTCCAATCTTAGGGACAACATAAACTAAAATAACTGTCAAACTGACAAATAAGTTTGTCCCCATGTTTCCTTAAAGTTGCACCAAGTTATTTCCAGGAAACCTTTTGTGAAATTAAAAAGAAAAATGAGGACCCATAAACGTAAGTGTTAACCAGGACCATGCTGTGTGCAGGCTAGAAAGGTTTTCTGGATTTCTATGAATGCAGAATTATCATTACATCAAAAACAGGAGTGCGAAAAAATACTACATACATACTAGCTTGTTTGACATCTTTGTCTGGACATGGCCTTTATTGGAGAATGGAGCTGCTCAGTTGTCATGGAGATGGTTCGGTTGTCATCGAGCGTCCTAAATATGGAGCGGCAGTCACATGATGACTCCTGAAGACTGTGAGACGGGGTTGAAAGCTGCGGAGTAAGCTCGGAAGTGAACCTCGAGTTGACATACTTTTTGTGAAGCTTTGAAATGATTCACTACAATCTGGTATTTGTGTTTGTAAAACAGAAGTGTCACAGCGTGTCAATGAAACACAGCTAGATATACCTTTGAATAAACATGAACCCATATTTCCTCTCAGAGTATTTGTCAGTTTACCCAATCAGGAAGAAAAGAGGTCAGACGAGGCAAAGAAAGAAACAATCAGTTAAAAGATAAATAGTTTATGCGACTCTCTCACATGGCATTTACCTTTACTCTATACACATTGTTTTGAACGTGATATACAGTATGTCATCTTTTTCTTTTTTTTACAATTTGACATAATGTTTGTTTTTTTCAGCATGCATTAGAATGCCAACAAAAAGCTCCACAAATACAGACTTCAAACTAGAATCTTCCTCACAGTAAAACATACAAAAACATGAACACGGATCAAAAAGCCGGACAGTTTTGAGGACAAGATGGAGAAGCACAGCATCGGACTACCATGACTTTCACAGGTAAGAGCAATGTACCCGACAGTAAGAGACACAAAAATACATGTTCTGGAGTCAAAAAAATAAACACCTTTTTTTATCTTCCTTTTTTTTTTTGCAAGTAACGACGTCATCCTAAAGAGACACACGAGGAAGGTACTTGTGTCGATTCAAAGAGCAAAGCAGCATGTGAACTACACAAGGAGGATTGTGGGTACACGGTGACACTTGGCAGCCGACGTGACATAAGAGTTGTGTCCTTTTCCCACCAGCTGTTTAGAGCAGCATCTTCACTTTTTCCATCTTTGTTTATAACGGGCTGCTGAAATCACAGTGTGGATCGGCTCTTTTTTTTCTTTGTCTTTTTTGCTTATTGCAAATCCGGTCCGATTGTTTGGGTGCGAGAGATTGCTACTGTGCAGACGTAGCCATTCTAGAAGTCCCGGTTTAGAACTTGGTTGAACTTCTGCTACACTTTCGCTCCGAAAACTTTGGAAGAATCAAGTTATGCAGTTTTTTTTTTATCATTTAGCCACCGAGAGTTACGAGGAATATTTCAGTGAGGATAATTTTGGTGTGTGAGTAAAAACAAACGATCTGCAGCTCAAACGCAGGGGGGTTGTATGTTTAAATGCACGGCGGGGGGACTTCTACAACGGCGACTGCATCACAGGGGAACTCTGTCTCATTGATGTTTGTGCTAAAACTAACTGGAAGAGTGATGGCATTAGGTCCACTCATTTGGTCTCTGGTCTTTCAAACTGCAGTTCTAACCCTGGTGTTTTAGGATACACACACACACATTAACACACACGCACACACACACACACATTAACACACAGCAGAGCAATTCACCAACTGAAAATCACCGAGGGAAACAAAAGCAGAGATGACCGTACTGTCACATTTATTCAACTTAGCACATTTGTCTCTCTATACTGTATATACTGAATGTAGAATCTCATATATCAACACACTCCAGTTTTAGAACACAAAGTGCCTCGACCGATACATCTTGATACACTTATTGCGAGGGGGGCGGGGGCACCACGGCAAGTAAAGTTGAGTGTCGCGGCCGACCACCTCGTTACTGACTCGCCGTCGGCGGACAGATGTGTGGACAGAGCCGCTTGGCCCAGGTGTGCTGTGTCGTTGTCTTATTTACAGGAGCATTGATCTATACAGTAGATAGTCTCTTTTAAGGACGTGTCCAGTTTGCTTTGCTCTCCCTTTTATTTTTCTCACCTCCACCGCTCCAAAACAGGAAAGCAAAAAGAGAAATCAGGTCCAATGTTATCAAAGTCCTCCCAGGATGTCGTTTGAGTTCCTCTTCCGCTCACTGAGCCGCTGGCTGGGCGGCCGTCCCGTCAAGTGTTTTTTTAGCGTGCTTCCCCGTCCGTATTGTCCTCAGGAGTGGCTCCAAATGAGGGGGGGAGGGGTCCTCCCGCGGCAATAGGTCCTTGCACAGATGACTTTCCCCCCCAGTCATTCAAATAGGAAATGAATGGTCTAAATAAAATAAAATACAAACACATCCCTAAATATCAGAAATGCATAATCTGTCTTTGTTGAGCATCATTTAAGAAGACCATGCCATGCACAGACTGGCTATGTTCAATATATGCACACACACACACACACACACACACACACACACACACACACACACACACACACACAAACACACACACAAAACAAAATAGATAGTATAAATCCATGGTGCTCTTTCCAGAATTATAAAAGCTGTATTGAATATTGTAGTGATTCAAATGGGGTGATTCAGTAATTTGGTGTTCGGACAAAGAGGCGTGTTTGGTCTTCTTTTTTTAATTGTTTGACTTTTTGCCGAGCCATGTGCAAAATGCATCTTACTAAGCCAGTTGCTAGGCAACCATCTGCTACTGGTATAGACACGCTGTAGGCATGGGCAAGTCGTGTCGGTCACGTCTGCTGTCCCGCACCTGTTGGTGCACGGAGGCAATTTATGAAATACAGCAGACGGATACAGCAGAGGCGGCTTCGGTTCAATACGAGACTCCGTGTGAGAAGTGTTCTGAGGGGATTCAGGTCAGTCCGTCTGGTTTGGGGATTGGAGAGCAGTTAATAGCCCTTGGTGATGGCTGATAACAAAGTGAGGCTGTGTAGTTAAAAGAACAGAAACAAAGTTATGTATCAGGTTTTTTGTTTTTTTGCAACAAACTAAATCTGCTCTTGGAGAGTAAATTTCCAAACAAATCTGATGGCACAAGATGCAAATTGCAGTTTACTAATTATACCTATATCTTGGTAATGATCAAAATGCTACAAGCAGCCCTTTCACTAGTGCCATCAAGAGTGCATGTTTCTGCAACTATACACAGGTGTCTCTATGTAGGATTATCGAATAACCCCCAATTTAAGTACGGCCACAATCTTAACTCATGACCAAAAAGGGTGAGAGGGTTCCGCACTGCAACCTGACCCTCACAACCACTTAGAAGGTTTATCTTTACCGCCTTATCCCCTCAAGCCCCTAAGACAGAACGCTGCTCTCTGCTTGTGTGAAACCAGTAAAGACAACCTCTCTGCAGTTATCTATGAGTAAACAACCACACAACAGGCTTTGGTGGCGCTCCATCATAGTAAAAAACAAAACATGAAGGCAACAGGGAGAAAGTTAATGGGAAATAGCAGCAGACGAGCAGAGAAAAAAAACACAAAGACAAACCCACATGCGGAGAGGAACGAAAGCCCAGCTGGGCTTTCTGTGTTTTCAGTCTCCTCAGTGGATTGTTGGTGAAGCTGACGGCAAAATTAGACACAATGCAAGTTCTAAACCCCAATGTAATTATATTAAATAAAAAAAATACCCCTTCAAATACATATAGGCTATACTTATATATTTCCACAAGCTCTACCCGTAGTCGGCCTCGTCCCTTCTCCCCTTGCCACATTGCTTGCAGATGATGGTTACAGGATGATCCATGCAAAAACACGAGCAGGCCCCGGCAGCAGGTGAGGAGCGACAGACGTGTGCGAGCAGTCCTCCATCTCGACGGCCATCCCTCCCAAAAAATAAAAGTAGACAAAGCAAAAGACACCAGTCCCAGTTGTGTGAGGATAAAACAAAATGACATCTCTCTTTCTTTCTTTGGAAGCACGTCCTTTTTCAAAAGGTATCTAAATATAGCAACATCTGATATCCCTGATTATTTTACGTGTCCTTTATTAAATGTTATGGCTGCTACTTCTGGAGCCACCAGTCGGAGTTCTTTTATTGCACTAAATTGAACTAAAGGGGACTCCGAGTCACATAGGAGGACAAGTTAGCTAAGCACATCTATCTTCAAGAAGGGGGGGGGGGGAGTTGCTCAGGCTAGCCCGAGCCACTAACATCAGTCCTAGCTACAAAGTTAAGTACTTATCCACTAGTCACAACACCTAAAAGTTCAGATGTAGTACCAAAGGGAAGTGGTTTGTTTGTGGGGTTGTTTCAGGCCAAAGCGGGCTCCTCCAGGGGGGGGGGGACTGGACATCTCACAGGATGGAGGGGATAGGGGAGCGGGAGCGCCGCAGCGGGCAGGGTGATCCGTAGGGCGAGTTCACAGGAGACAACCTCAGGGTGTTCCCAGCCATGCCCGCTATGTTGTTTAAGCTCCGGGATTTCTCATAGCCTTCGGATGAGAGGGGTGGGGGCGCGACAGAGAGGTGGTGGTGGTGGTGCAGGAACAGGACATGAACACACACAGGCAGGCAGGCGGGCAGGCAACGATCCGAGTCCGAGCCAGCCGAGTGAACCGGGACAAGACAGGAGACAGGAGTGAGACAGAGCAGCGGTAACATACTGTATGGTGAGTGCATGCACAGCAACATTTCCTGACAGTGAGGCGCATTGGAGTCTATGAAAGTCAAAATGTTTCGTAGCTGGAGCTGCTCTAGAGGGACAAATAAACTCATTGGCTGGTACTTGGGGATAAATTAAAGTAATCTCGGACACAGCTAATATCGAGGAAAATTTTATCATTTAAAGATAGCTAAGCTGTTTTACTCTTCGCTGTCAAAGTAGGCGGCTTAATCTGACTGGAAATAACAAGCAGCCGAGTAGGAAAAACAAAACCCCGTCTGCATCAGCCTTCTAGTTGTAAGTCTGAGTCGAGCTATGACTCAATCATCATTCAGCAAAAAATGTCAAGAAACCAGTGGGAAAATGGCTGGAAAGCAACTGTTGCTGGCAGTTACATTTCAATACAATCCAAAGTTAGAATGTCAAAAGGATCTATTAGCGGAAATGAAAAATAGCATTCATAACTATGATTTCATTAGCGTCGAATCACCTTAAACTAAGAATCGTGTTTTCGTTGACCTTATAATGAGCCCTTCATATCTACAACGGGGAGGGGCTGATTCAGCTGGTTGCAATCTGCTAAATCCTACACACTGCTCCTTTAAGTCAATTCAACTAATCCCCCCAAAAAAGCAGCTACATACCATTTTCTTGGAATGGATCAGTCATTAATGTGATTCGTCACATCTGTGCTTTTCCTGCTGTGACAGTATGTGTTCTTTTTTAAACCCTGCTGCAGTGACTGTGCCCAGAGATTTCGTGACATTGGAAGGAGATCCATAAACACAGCACAGCTACTGGCTTAATGCTGCCTTCATGCCATGTTGGATGGAAAATCTTCCTGTTATTCCATCTTGGGAGCTTTCATTATTCAAAGACACCCCGCTGCTAGCATTGTAGTCACAGCAGATAAAAGGGGAATTAAGCTAATTAGCTGATCTTATTGTGATACATGTAGCTTGTAAACCTCAGCGAAAGTTACCTTCGGCTTGTTGACACTTCTCTAGTTTTTTTTAACCACGTGGGTTGTTGAAGTCCCCAATATCGTAAGGAACAGAATTACAACGGAGAGGCTTGTATTTAATAATTTGACATTATTTGACGTTAGCCTCACTAAAATATCTGTCTGGCATATTGTTTAGCTGGACTTACTGGCCTATAGCTAGCTAGGTAAGCTAGCTAGCTAACATGCTGAAGTTCCAACACAATGAGTATCATGATAATGAATGAATCCGCAGCAACTCTACCTTTTAGAAATGCCTATGTCATTAAAATTCCAGTCTGCCAGAGTTCAGTGTGGAACCCTTTACTCGAATACAATATATTGTTATCCTTAAAAGGGTTGAATAAGAGAATCATATAAGCGGTCATATATCTCATGGCATCATCATTAGTATTAGGAAATTGTTTAAAGATTGTAAATCTCAGTAATGGCTAATACATGGTGATAACTTTAAGAATAGAGCGCTGCAGGGACAACATGTTTTTGTAGACGTACAGGAAGCTAGCATCGCACTGGTTCCCTCCAGATTATTACAGAAAACAAGCTTTATGACACTTAGATGTTCTGTTCAGCAAGATAAATGAACACTTTAATGATGTGTTAAAGCATCAATCAGTAGACAGAGTTAGCGTTAGCTATAAACTAACTACAACATGGTCATATGAGGGCGAGTAGCCTACACACAACTGGACAATGAGGGCGGACTAGTCGGCCTGATGAAGTTTTATAGTATCATTTAGCCACTTGTTAGCCTTTGTCTTGTCTTTTTTAAGACACGAAAAAAGCATCAAAATTCACGAGGGGTATTTACTGACATATTTTATGTCATAGAACGAAACATTGAAATGTCTTAAGCTTCTGTTAACTACAGACCTTATTTAAAGCATCTATCCAATATTCCGTTAACAAATTCTGACTCATTTCCAGGTTTTACGACTCATTCCTGCAGCACTCTAGCTGCAAGCAAAGTTGTGGTTCCTTCTTTTTTAAGGTAAGACAGAAAGCTTTTTTGTTCTCTAACCTATGTGTGCTGTGACTGAATTGTGATAGACGTGCTAAAGTAAAAAGTTGTACAGCGGGCACCCCCCAAATTACCATTGTGTATTTCACACACTGTATAACAGTCATATCTAATAAGACTACCAACAAGCACATCATGTATCAAATATAACTGTTTATGCGTGTTTAAATTCAGGTTTTAGCCTGCACGTACCGATGATGATGAGGATAAGAGACCTTCATTTTTAATACTTAAATCATCTGTACGTATTCACACAACAGCTCAAACTTCTCAAAAATTGCAGCATGTGAGCCACGCCGGCGCAAAAAATAAACAAGCAAGCCCAAGCAGCCAGATCATTAATGGAGCATGTCGATCGGCTGGCGTGAACATTGATGAGGAGCAGCTAATGGAAACGTGGCCTCATTACCATACCGCACGCGGCACCATTTGTTTCGCCGAGGCTATCTCAGAGCCAGAATGAGCAGGCGGAACAAAGAGCAGCCTGCGTCTATGCCAACAGGTAGCGGGGGACTAGAAAGGGACCCGATGTTTTATGCATTAGCCGTCAGTGTGTTGCGGCAAAAAGCGACTGCCGACTGAAGCAGCGGAGACCAAGGCACAGCTGCTCGGCCGCCTACGTTGAGCAAACGAGACTGGCGAAGGGCTCTGCTGTGACAGAGACCACCATGATGTGCTCCCTAGAGGATCTGGACCACATGCAAAGTGGTCTAAACTGCTAGGCTATCTAACTACCCAGCGTGGAAATCATTAATTCCTTGTTTTAATTTTGTCCGTACATTGCGGGACAAAAAGTAAACCTTCTCTTACGAAATAGTAGCTGACATTCAATTGAACGTAATCTTTGATTCGCAGAGTGTCACTCCAATGGTATGATAGCATTGATTTGCCCGTTGTAGAGTGAGTGCAGTAGCACTGTGAGGCTACAGAGTAATAACACTGAAAGCCTCCTAGAGAGACAGTTAACTTCTGATAGGAGGCAATTAGCCAAGGCTTACGTTTCCACATTACAGTCCAGATTAACACTCTAATGCCTCAAAAAGCTTGAGATAAAATGGAGGAATTAACCTAACAAACATGCTTTAGGCCTCGCGTGGCGTCTGAATATTATTTTAGTGCAGTTGAATGGAGGCTGCAACCAAAAGTATTTCATAGAAATACTGTGTTTTGTGATTTTCTATCGAACAAGCTGCCACACGACCTCAATTCCACGGCGTGAGTGGCTCAGTTTATGCATTTTAGTTCATGACCTTTTCTGCCTTTTGAAACCACACGGAACAGCAACGGGACTTTGTGGTAATTTCGGCCGATGTGGACTTCACAATGACCTTTAGCATGGGTCAAAGTGTTTGGAAGGTCAAGCCCTTTCTGAGTCTGACCTTTCCACTGATGCAATTCTACATGACCGACAGGCAAATCATCTGGACAAATCTGACATCGTCCAGTGATATCTCTAATTGTAAACCATGTGGACTGTTTCAAAATCTAGTCAAGCTTTAGGGTGAGCCTACAAAGGTTCAACAATCAGAAACAAGAATCGGGGCCGGGGTCAACTCAGAATGTTCGACTTGGTCAAATCGACTTCTTCATTGATATATCAAATTTAAATTTTCAGTGGCAGCATTAAATAAAGGGCTTGGAATTGCATGTTAATACTATAAAAGAATATATGCAACCTAGTCACCAAAACATTTTGACATAGTTTGTATCTATAAACCACGGGATATGTTAAATCAGCCTCGTATCACACCTTGCAGATACGCTTATCGCTTATCGTGGTTAACGTTGTGAAACTATTTTTTAGGTATAGACAACAAAACTACTTGGTAAATGCAGGGTTGGTAATATTGAGAAACTTACAAGAGTACGCTAATGATCCAACCTAAAAACCCAGCACAGTGTTGCCAACTCTTTTCCAATGAAAGTAGCTACCAGCACTAGCTCCAAAAGTTGCTAGATCTTGAAAGAAAGTCACCAAGTTAGCAACACTGACCCTTACGTAGTCCCTTCAGGCCTCCCTCCAAAGCCACTCCCCCAAAAATCACTATGAGCGTAAACAACAAACATGGCTATTGTTAGAACTAAAAGATGTTAAGATAGCAGCTTGTGGATTTGTTCCATGGATTGCTGTTATCATATTTTAAGAATTTCAATTTTGTGAAGATTACCTACCCTATCTTTAAGGTTAGAAAAAAGATCACGGCTCGTGTTAAAATGGTAACGGAACCATGTAACTAGGGTAAATAAATAACAACCGCCGTTATCGCCGTTATCCAACCGTTATCGTTTCTTATACTCCTCACTATACCACCTAACTCTTAATAATGCCCGCTGGATATATGACCGAATGCAAAAATGTTCGACGCCAAAATTCTTTCCTGGCGACTGGGCTGATATGTTTAACAGGTCTGATATGTCAGATAAACACTTCCACGGTCAGCAAGTATAGTAATATATTATTTGATATGAATGTAAATAATTCCACTGTATTAGCTGGTGATTAGCTAAAACTAATTTTTAGAAGCAACAAAATGCATTTTCCAATGTTACAAATGAAGAAGTCAAAACATTTATGAGTTGATAGAATTAAAATCTATTTTTGACATCTGCTGGTGTACCATCACCTTAGGGGCAGATGATACACTTGGTAATTTCTTTGGGAGGTACAGACGGGCAATGAAACCTGGCAACAGCGAAATCAGTGAGACGCGGGAAATGTATTCCAGTGTTTCCAGGCAACAGGAAAACATGAAGAAATCGTGATGAAAGCAACAGTTCTGAGTCAACTGCATGGACGCTGTTGCCCCTCAGAATTGCCAAAAAAAAGTGGTGCTGCTGAGGGCCGCGGTAGCAGATCCACAGGTTACGTTACCTGAGCCGACTAGGCCAGAACAAACAGCCCCCCCCCCCCCTCCAGGGATGTCGGTGTCCCAGTCACTAAGGATATGGATCAGCTGATGAGGATTTTCACTGATTGTCTTAAAACATGTGGAACTCTGACAATTGTATTCCTATGGTAAAACGTACATATAAAGCATATTCCACACATACTGAAAATAGCGGCCACAGGAAAACCTAACCCTGACTAGTACGTGATGACTAATGAGTGATTAAGTGTCAATGCACAATAGCAAGCATGATTTTCAGAATGATTCTGAAACTAATATTATTATTTTTTCCGAAACTGACATATAATAAATGAATCAATGCGTGACATATTCATTAAAGGTCAATGAAAGCCAGTAGAGTTACACATGCAGTTACCTGTTTTTCGCATCCCTCCGTCTGCAGGGCAGCTGTAGTCACTAGCAGCGAGCAGGAAGCATGTCCCCCCGCTCCGCCGGTCCTGTTCCCGGGTGCTGGACCTTCGCATGGGGACCCTCTCCTCTGGAGACATGGTCAGGTCGCTGCCCCTGCTGCAGTCTGCTGACAGAACTGTGAGAAATGAAATGGGTCAGGTTAGAGATCGGAAATATTCTGGCTGGGCTTTGTTTTTTGTTATTTATTTATTTTATATTTTATTCTATGTTCCTAAATTCATACACTTTTCAATTCTACTATTCTGACATAACAGAAGGGTTTAAGATTTGAATCCTGAGTTTATAACAACAAAAGCCCAAAGAAATGAACTTACCTTAACGGGACATACTAAATAATTAGGTAATATGATAGTTATAGATTGTTTTAATCACATCCCTCCCTTCGTACATATAAGTTGCTGTGGAATTTAAAGTCTGGCATTTAACCTTGTGCAACTTTAATGTCAGTAACATTTCTCTAGTAACAGCAATATCTGGATGTACTTGTGGGACGGCTACATATGCCATACTTAAAGAAAAGGAGTAGGGTTCAGGTCACAGTCTGTTACCATTACATCAATCATTACGTGTGTCTGTGTGACTGGAGACCAGTGTCCCATTTTCTTCCCATTGAAGAGGAAAGTAACTTGCAGACTGTGTATTTGAAATTACCTCTGAGGACTAAACCAGATTGATTCTGTTTGTGCATTCAGTTGAGCCGTGATTCATTGTATGCTTATTGAATATAAGGTTCTGAGACCTAATAAAGAAGAGCCCATAGGGTGCGCCTACCCTCAAGAGTGTCTGCTCTAGAATTCAAAGAAAGCCGATGTACGGAGGTCGACACTAATTTCCGTCAATATGAGATGTGTAAGAGTAAATTACTGATGTGCGCCTGGAGGGGAAAAACAGCCACCTACGGTCTGAGCAGCGAATGAACAATCCCTGCTGCAAGAAAAACTTGGACACAAGGACTCTGACTTCTTATCAGCATAAGCCGTTTCACACAGCCGTCTCCTACTCGCAGTACCTTGTGCATCGCCTTCCTCGTCACTGTGGCAACCAGAGATGAAGGCTGCGAGGCAAGAGAGCTCAGTCGTCTGTGAGGGAGCTGCTGTGGTGAGAGCGAGTCTCCGGGGGAAAACCATTTATAGTCTCAAGGGGGAGTCTGTCAAATGGACACATATTTCTACCTGAGAGGAGGTCTTCTTGCTGTCACTACATATAGAACACCACTCGATGTAACCTCTACTTTAATACCGAGGTGTGGCTGCTCATGATTTTTTGATCGGGTCTTACCTGAGCGGTTGCGTTCTAGCACCCTGCTCCCTTTGACGTGGCACAGGTCACCTTGTGTGCTGTTGCAGGTGGTGTTGAGATCTGCTTTGCAGTATATGGGGGACCCTCCCTGCACCACCTGAGGGATGTGTTTCTTCCTCTTCTTGGGCAGCTTCTGCTTGGCCATGGCCAGGGAGTAGTACATCCCAAAGTTATTGACGATGACGGGCACAGGCATGGCTATCGTTAGCACGCCCGACAGGGCGCACAGTGCGCCAACGACCATGCCCGACCAGGTCTCTGGATACATGTCGCCATAGCCCAGTGTTGTCATGGTTACCACGGCCCACCAGAAGCCAATGGGGATGTTCTTGAACTTGGTGTGGTTGCTACCGGTGGGGTCGTTGGGCTTCGCGCCGATTCGTTCGGCATAGTAGATCATGGTGGCGAAAATTAGCACTCCCAACGCCAGGAAGATGATGAGCAGCAGGAATTCATTGGTGCTGGCCCGTAATGTGTGACCCAGCACCCTTAACCCCACGAAATGGCGCGTGAGCTTGAAGATGCGCAGGATACGAACAAAGCGCACCACCCTGAGGAAACCCAACACATCCTTGGCGGCCTTTGAGGAAAGGCCACTCAGCCCCACCTCCAAGTAGAAAGGCAGGATAGCCACAAAGTCGATGATGTTGAGAACACTCTTAACAAACTCCAACTTGACCGGGCAGAAGGTCACACGCACCAGGAACTCGATGGTGAACCAGAAGACGCAAACGCCCTCCACGTAGGTGAGCGCGGGGTCAGTTTCTATTTCGTACTGCGGGCCTGAGTCCGGCACGCTGCTGTTCCGCATCAGTTCCGTCTTGTTGATGATGGTGTTGAAAGCCTCGTGAGTCTCCAAGCAAAAGGTGGTGATGGAGACCAGGATGAAGAACAAAGATGCAAAGGCTATAAACTACAGGAGAGGAGAAGAGAAAAACACACGTTACCATCAATGCACCCCTTACATTTCAAATGGTTTGAACCTATACACCGGCTGAGGAGTCATACACCGTGATAAATCAATTAATTTACTCTTGAGAAAGAGAGAGGACTCAGACAAGTTTAATTAACTTGCATCAAGTTGAATTGGACTCCAGAGAGAGGAGCAATCTATTAGCAAGACCAACAAATAAACACACACTTCTCCCTTGTTCCTGGTGGGAATGTAACACGGGAATGCAAATGCAGTCAGATTTAATTTAATGCTGCTGGTATGTTGGGCTGTTGGCAGCAAAGCAGGGAGAAAAGTGGTTAAAAGCAGACATCAGACTTCAGAATCAGTGGGGAATTGGGAAAAGGTGGTTATTTTTGTTTCCTATAGCATTTTAAGTGATGCCACATCTCCTTGTAGTTGCATTGCATGTGATGTTGGGGTGTTGTACTATACTTGGTTTTTAAATCATGCATGTGACCCCTAATAATGAAGTGATTTGTAGGTGAGACTCCACATCACAGGTTGCAAATGTGTACTTGTTGTGAACGGGTCGATTACAAAATGTTTTGTTTCAGAGTCTTGAAGAATTCAAATGGAACGAAAAGCAGAGGTAAAAGTAATAAAAGAGAAACTAGAATGACCACCTTGTGGTTGCATGCCTCAGCCAACCAGTGAAGTTGCAGTTTTGCATCCATGGTTGCCCAAATTGTCATCACTTCAGCATTTTATCCGAGCAGACATTTGAGTGAAATTATCACAATTATCGTATAAATTCTTGAGTTATGGCCAAAAACCTGTTTTGTGAGGTCATAGTGACCGAGCACCAAATTCTAATCAGTTCATCCCTGAGTCCAGGTGGACGCTTGAGCCAACTTTGAAAAAAAATCCCTTCAGGGATCACGGATCGGATCACACCTCACGGTTCGGATCACTTGTGAACCGCTGATCTATTGTATGATTTTTTGTTTTTTTTACAGTGTAATCATCATAGTGTGTAATAAAGCTTTACTACTGCTGTTCCTTTTCAAGTAACAAGTCCCCGAATATCAATGCAAAGTGTCAGTGAACAGATATAAAGCAGTAGTGTGTTCACGTCAGTGGCGGGCCGTGCATTTTATACCTGGGCCTTCACTGCTGTCCTGCAATTGAATAATCTCATTATGACGCCACAGCTACGGTTATTATTTGTTTTGTGTAGAAATGAACCTCAACACCTATAAATACACTAATTGCAGAGTGCAGATACATAAATACGCCGAGAGTGTGTCTTCTCTCTTCTCTGACTGCAGCTGGGACTGCTGTGCGAGGCTACTGTGAGACTGACCGCCTGTCAGTGCTTCGGGGCGGCTCACGGCAGCACCCGCTGCTCGTCCATGACAGTGCAGAACGTACGTGCTTTAACGTCAGAGTCAAAACACCAGAACAGTCTCCAACACCAGAAAAAGTCGCTAGATTTGTCGCTAGTAGCTTTTGACAAAAAAGTCGCCATGAGGGTTTGGAAAGTTGCCAGATTTTGCGAGAAATTTGCCAAGTTGCCAACACCGACTAAATGTGTCCCCAGCGCAACATTGGATGTAACAATAGTTCCTATCACATATAAAACCAAACAAAAATCCATCTTCATAAAAACAAGTTGTACAAATAATAATGTATAAACAAATGTAAAATGCAGACAAACACATTTAACTTACCAGAGCTGCTGTTCACTATTTAGCTGTTCTTCCTCCTTTCTTTGTTAACAAAGAGTTTACTCTCACGGTTGTTCAGTACATCCGTGTGTTTTAGTTCCAGTAAGAAGTCCTTCTCCATTCATGGACACCAGTGAAGACAGTCGAGCCTCCCCAGTTGTATTTCTTGAATACGTTTTAATGCGTTTGAGGGCTGAAAATGTCCGCTCGACAGAGGCAGCAGATATTGGGATTGTCACCGCCCAACATGTCACGCTAGCCCACTGACCAATCACGTATGGCTAGGCCAGCTAGCAGGCTCTGACACGTCAAAGAATACGCCCAACATGTCAAACTAAAGATCTGATTGGTTGAACACTATGACAATCAACAATATCGTCCCCATTCATTTAAACTGCAAGGGGATTCACTTGTGAGTCTGCAGGCCTCGGCCTCTCTTCTTACCTAGAGACACAGAGGTGAACACTGATTGGATAAAAGCTCTACTTAAAACAAGCTGCACTGGAAGCAGAGCAACTGAGGAAGACAGTAGCTGTGCAATGAGAAAATAAGATAATGGGGAAAAAAATTATAATACATGTAGTGTATTTATGAAAAATTATTAAATTATAAAATAGCTATAACTTTGTGATTCTGTCTAGGCCAGCAGAGAAGACCTTGCTGGCCCTGACGGCCCACCACTGGTTCACGTGAACGGAGCAGGTTAAAGGCATTTAACGGTGAACGTCATGGCGAGCGGAGGAACTTGAGAAGCTCCCGGCGTCATTGAAGTTGCAAATTTGGGAGCATTTTGTCTTCCCTGTAACTTATAATGATGGATAAGGGTGGTGGACAAAACCGTTATGTTAAACCGGTATATAGGCGTTGTGTTGGGCCTTAGCCCTATTTTTAGGCCTCTGCTCGAAAATTGCATACCCATACTAAAAAGACTGTAATTCTGTAACTACAAGGTCTATTTTAATAATTTCGATGTTATAATACAGGTAACACGTGTGAGATTTGTTCAGATGTGTAAATAATGTGTATATGTTACTGGTTAATAGTAAATGAAGATGGCACACAACTCAAATTGAAAAGTTTCAGGTTCGCCTGAAAAGAAAGCACTGAAAGCATGAGTACCTCTTTTGAATGATGCTAACGAAAGTTTAAACCTCTCCCAAAATCATAGCACAACATGTCAGCAGTCTCTGCAAATTTTGGCTTTGATAAAGTGAAGCAGAACAAAGTTAGAGAGGTTTTAGTACAGAGAGGTCAGGTGGGGTCAAGCAAAATTGTCACATGTTCCAGCTGTTCCATTGTAATTTATGTAATTTATTTACTATATATTTCACTTGTTTTATCACTAACAGTGTTCAATCTATCCAAATACAGCAGTTTGGCATCAGCTGTGAAACATGGATCCATTCTCGTCTGACTGCAGTTTGCCTGTGTCTGTATCTCAGCCTATGATTGGTCAATTTGAGTGAATGAGACCTCCTTCGACGCGTCAGAGTCTCAGGAATTCAGTGGGAGTAGCCTGGTGTTGATTGACAGAATCGTTAGCCAGTAAAAATCAAAAACGCGCTGCTCATCGCCCTGCGTAAAATTCCATTCGCCAAAAGTCAAATTCCTTCCCCCCCGGTCCCACAAGCTTGGTTGACCCCCCTTCTTCGGGAAATAGATGAGAAACAGACAGGATATACGTAGCAACAGTGTATTTAGCCGGGAAACGAGGAATTATGCCGTTCTTTCCATGATTCAGCGTAAAGGTGAGGTGCTGCTAAGATTTTTTTTCGGTGAAGCGGTTTGTTGTTCTGGCGTTTGTTTGCTCACAGCTCTGTACTGGTTTCACGGAGAGAAATTCTGAAGATATCTCTGGATTCTGTGTCGAATTCTCTTGCTTTCTGATACCTCGGTTGTCCGTGTCAGCTTGTAGCTTTGTCTTGGTATATCGAAGCGGAGTGGGTAGCTTGCCGAGTCATGGCAAAAAATACGTGATATTGTGGTACATCTTCTAGTTGATTATATTAGTTCGTGTATAATTGTGTTTGCAGTGTGTAAAATGGCTTCGATGATATTTTTGCCCATAATCTCTTCGTTAAGTGGGTATATAACGTGTGTAGCATTCATTATATTCGTTTCTGAGAATTGCATTTGTATGACACGCTGTACGCTAAACTTTCTCCGTAGCCCCCCCCTGGGGGAGCTCTCGGGTACAGCGAGTTAAAGAGAAAGACATATGACAACGGCAATACATCGGGCATGTCCACACATATGAAGCGCCACCATCACGGTCTGTCAGCGACGGGGACCACGCCACAACAACAACGTATCATTGCGGCATTTAAGAAACCGCTTGTGGCAGAATCAGACCGGGCTAAAGCTATTACAACATCTATTGGGGTCTTTATTGCTGCAGACATGAGGCCATACTCCGGTGTGGAAAACAAAGGATTTCAAAATCTGGTTAAAGTGCTCCAGGGCAACGAAGAGCTACGTGACTGTGACCGCTCACTTCATCACGGAGGAGTGGGAGATTCATAGTCCGGTGCTGCAGACACGCCCCCTCTGTGAGAGTCACGCAGACACACACCTGGTGCAGGTGCTGGCAGAAGCAGTAGAGTGGAAGCTAGACACGCCCAATAGCAATATCCCAGTCACCACAGACAATGTAGATATTCTCATCTTTTTGAAGAAATAAATATAAAGTTGTAGACCATTTCACAGTAATGGTAAACATTATTGCAGTGTATTTGAATGACATAACCTGACAGGAAGTAAACATAGACCCAAGTTGTTGCCGAGCAGTTCAGTTCAGTTGAAACAGTGGAAGCTAGCTCACTGGCTGTTTCTCTCTTTCAATATTGATCAAAGGACGAGGGTCTCAACATACCTCATGTTGCACTTAAATTTAACAGAAATTAGTATTCTTGAATGTTTTACTTTTATTTCTTATTTATTTCATTTTGTTTCAAATTGGACATCTTCAATATTTTTGTTTTTATGTAAGAATATAGCCCAAAGTTCTCTTTCTGGTGACAAGCAGCCCCCATTTGGGTGCTGAGCGAGACCGTTTAGGGTGGTACCGTGGTTCCGAATGGACTTTTTATCAAGAAATATCAAAAATGCTACAGACATATTAAATACCGAATTAACAAAAAAAGTCTGGGCAAAATCATCATACCAGCCATTTTACACAATTATACACAGTCATACACAAACTAATTCAATAAACTAGAAGATTTATCACAAAAATCACAGATTTTTCTCCAAAAATCGGCGAACTGTGCACCCGATTTTCATCTTCCATCA